GAGATACTCGGCACGCGTTGATATACGCCCAGAAAGATGAAATCGAGAAAATCGACGTGTAAGTCATATAGCGAGAGCGTGCTACTGCGGCCACGCGCCCCTGCCGCATCAAATCCACCCCCCCGCCATCCTGGATCGAGATACGCGAACGAAAACAAGTAAATAACACCTGCCCGACTCTCGTAATACCTTCTCGCATCTCGCGATCAGATATGGGCCGCGTATAATGGTGCTATCTCGGCGAGCCATAAGCCGCAGTTGCCATGCATGACGATATCGCGCGCGGTCAACTGTGGCATACTCATCTGCTAGGGCGCGCGCGAAGCAACCGGAGCTTATATGGCGATACCTATACCTAGCCAGCAATAAAACTCCGGTTCAATTTACTATCTTCACAGAAGGAGTAGAGAAACAAGAGGGAGAGAGGGAGAGAGAAGGAGAAGCCGAGAGCGAGAGAAGTGAGAGAGAGAGAAAGAGAGAGAGAGAGAGAGAAAGAGGGAGAAAGGGAGGAGGTGTGAGAGAGAAGGAGGGGGAGACGAGAGAGAGCGAGAGAGAGAGAGGGAGTAAAGAGGAAGGGGGAAAGAGACAATAGTGACAGAAATATACGGAAGGAGACGCCCGTCCGCGCTGGCACGCACAGACTCGGCACGGGTAGACGGGCACTGCGAGGGGTACGTAGATTGCTTACGAGGCAAGCTCATAGCGAAACACCAAACACCACAACACACGAAAGCATACACATGCGTTTATACACACGCTTGGCCTCATATTGAGATCAGCACCATCTCTCTGTCGCAACGGGCGTAAAGTAATAGCAGCACGCACGTAACTGGACAGCATATGCAGGACCGAAGCTCCATATATATACAATGTCCGTAGTACAGCGCGCCGAACATGAATATGGATCGCAAACTGGCGTTACACCGCAACCAAAATTGCGGATCGATATCAGACCGTGGGCCAGAGGCGCATTCTGCAATTTGCGTATCGACTGCTTACAATCAGAAAGCGTGCGCAACCGTCGCCACGGCCGCCACGACGAGAACCATGGTAAATCACGTGTGTTCGACTCAGCGTCGTCACTCGACCACGGGAGCAGTCAAGTATGCGCTGGTAGCTAACTGCTGCAGCCTGGACCAGTCATCGGGTCAATTAAATTTAAATTTAAATCTATCTATCTCATACTATTACATCTATCTAATCTATCTATCTATCATACTATCTAGTCTATCTATCTATCTATCTATCTATCTATATCTATCTATCTATCTACTATACTACTATCTTCATCTATCTATCTATCTATTCTATCTATCTATCTATCATATCTATCTATCTATCCATATCTATCTATCATCATTCTAATCTATCTATCTATTATCTATCTATCTCTTCATTTATGCTATACTATCTTCTATTCTATGCTATCATCTTGCTATCTATCTATCTATCTAACTCTATCTACTATCTATCTATCTATCTATCATCTATCTAGTCTCTGTACTATCTATCTATCTATCTATCTATCTATCTATTTATCTATCTATCTATCTATCTATCTATCTACTATCTGATCCTATATCTATCTATCTATCTATCTATCTATCTATCTGTCTGTCTGTCTATCTATCTATCGTATCTACTCTATCTACTATCTATCTATCTATCTATCTATAATATCCTATTCTATCTATCTATGCTATCTATCTTGATCTATCTATCTATTATCCTATCTATTTATCTGTATCTATTCTAACTATCTATCTACTATCTATATCTATCATATCGACATGCTATCTATTTATCTAATCTATCTATCTATCTACTGTCTGTCTGTCTATCTATGCTACTATCTAATCTGTCTGTTTCTGTCCTATCATATCTCATCATCTATCATCTCATCCTACTCTCATCTCTCTCTCTCTCTCTCTC